TGTAGGCAAACCAGACTGAGAGCAAATTTTCTCCCTCCAAATGAATTCCTTTGTCTCCAATATCTACATTTTTGTGGGCATTAAGTATTCCCAGCTTAGGCATTAGACGAAACTATATAAAAATAAGTTAGTACAAGAAAAGCCACATAACACCGAGAAATACCGTGCTAAAAGCAACGCACCTTTAACTTTTATAGTAGTAACATGAATATTAATATACACTGCAACAGCACTTAGGTCCTAAAAGCAAACATAAAATTTCCCATGGCCTGTGGAGAAGCACTGCTGTCTTATGTGAAGCTTAGACAAATGTAACTATATAGATTGCAAGCAACATGCTTTGAAAATACAGTATTTTCTGAACCGATTCTCTCTTTCATTTCATTCTAAGACCTCTGCTTGCAAACACTAAAGCACATTTTTCTGCCCTATGTTAGTGTAAACACCAAGTCATACCACTGCTTTGAATTAGCGTATCAGAGTAGATTTTTGCATAGTATCTTTTTTTTCCCCTTTAAAAACCTCAACAGCTCCTAATGCTTGGTGGCCACTTGAAGATATTGTCTCCAGGTTGGCTGCTGAGGGGAATGGATCAGGGTTCAAACCTAGAGATGGAGCTGATTATCAAATTTTGGATCTAGAGTTCCAGTTCTCTAAACTTCCAAAGTACTTGCATCCAGGGTTGATTTCAGATACAGGCTAGCTGCATCTGTGAAGAGTAATAAATGGTTCCCGCCATGAACAGTTTGCAAATTCCAGGCAAGAGTGACAGACAGTGGGGAAAAAAGAATTATCCTTATTTTGTATCATGGGTAATTGAGGCACAGACATTAACAATCAAGATTTTCAAACATAAAAGTTAGGCACCCATATCCATATTGTACCCACTAAATAATAGCCTTATTTTAGGAGATGCTGAGTTCCCATGGTTCTTTTGGATTTCACTGGGAGGCAAATCTGGAGTCACTGTTGGAAGTCCTGGCCTATGCATCTTCATGTTGTTTATACTATTCTCCAAAGGAGTACCTTTTTTAACTTGGAGGGCTGCATGTCCAATCAGGAATTGCATTTATTCAAACTTCTCCATAGACAATATCACCATCTTGTTAAAAAGTAGATGTTGACAGCATTTCTGTTGGGAAGTAAGTCTATGTTATCCCCTCAAATTATTGAAATATGCACACAACATAACTGGGTCTGGTGATGTGGCCAAAGCTGAGGCCCCTGCCAAACTCAGACTTGAAAGTGCTTCTGGGAAATCATAATACATGAGTAAAAAGTGGTGGTGGGGGAGAGAGGGGTCTGTTGGGTATTTTCTTCCATTGCCTTGTACCTTAGTTTTTTTAAGCTTGGGTTTCAAAGAAACACATAGCGGTTAAATGCACAGCTTCTGCCAAATTTCAGTAAGTTTTGAGTGCCTAACTCCCTTTGAAAATCCCAGCCTTACACCAGTGCAACCTGGGTGGAAAGTTGCACCATGGCAAAATGACACACGTTTTTCATGGATTTAAGTGACTACAGCAGGCCCTGAGCATTTAGCCAACACACACTCCAGCAGGGCAGTATGTGTGTGTATTAGCATGCTTTTGAGAACAGTGACACCTGGGTCTACTCCAGGGATAATTCTCCTCACACACAAGAGGAGCCCGAGAAAATGTGACTGTGAGGTACTCGGTGTTAGCTTTGTGTCCACAGACAATGATGCAGCAGATTAGTGCTGCTGTGGGACGCTATACAGCAGTTACTCATGGCTGTGTGTAGACGAAACGAGGGGCAACTCTGCACGACACTTTAAAGTGAGTTAAATGCTTTTGCACTGCTTTAAAGGTGTTGATGTTTGCACGCATTGGCAGTGTATTGCACAGTAATGCCAGCCACTGTAGCAAATTCGGCAGCATAATGCGCCTTAAATGCCTTGGGGCACAGCAAACTAAAACTCCTCTGAGCAGGTTTAGTTTTCTGTCCTACAGCTGTGGAGTGGAGCACTGGGCTCCATGCAGTTCAGGGGCTCTGCAGGAAGCCCGTGCAGGCAGCCTGGCAGCAGCCCGGGAAGGCATGCCCCACCCAAGATCCCCCCCCCGCCCCCCGGAGCCTGCCTGCCTGAGCTGCACGGGGGCCCAGTGCTTCCCTCCACAGCTGTGGTGCCCCCTGCGGTGCCTGTGGGTGCCTTTGGGTGGGTGCTGCCTGGGGGTGGGACCACTGCTTCCGCGGAGGGGAGCACCAGCTCCCCTGCAGCCCAGGGACCTCTGCCTGCCAGCAGCTTGCCCTCCCCTCCCTGCCGCCAGAGAGGCAGGTAAGTTCACGTGTATGCACAACACAGGGGTTTAAAGGGCCATAAACTGAAGTGGTGATTTTAAAAACCCACCGCTTCAATTTAGGACCCCTGTTTCATCTACACATGCCCCATGTTACCAATATAGTTTGGTAACTATACTGAAGCCAATTCTCCGTTTTGTCTCACTCACCTTATGCCAGTGTAACTTCAAACACTGGAGTTATACCAGCATAAAATGAATGGAGTGGACACAAATCCCTGTGTGAGAAGCAGGTATGGCAAAGCAATACATTTCACATCCACTGCACCCCTCAACCTCCCAGCGTTACTTTCCAGTGCACTAGAGACAGATCTCAAGAGCAGTAGCAAGGGTTGCCTTCAGGGTGGGGGCTTCATTACCACACTTCCAGGACTGGTATACGAGGAATGGGAGCAGATAGCAACATTGCGCATGACAGCAATGGTCTTAGGAGTGCCATAGAAACAGTATAAACATACTCTTATCATCTCCATGCCTTAGCCAATCACCTGTTCCTCCTATCACATCTCAGTGTTGCACATCGCCAACCAGGATGCTGGGAGATCATTTTAAGGGTGCCAAAGGGTGCTGTGCAAAATTGAAATTCTTAGGTGTACAAACACCTACGTGCGATTCACAGGATAAAGACAGCAATTTTAAACAGAAATGCATAGTGTCAAACACAAAACATTCTGGCCTGTTGTGATCTTTGAGGTCCCTGCAGTAGCTGAAAGCTAGCAATTTCAGGATGGGCATTCCTCAAGTCTTCCAAGGCTGAGAACCACTGCTGCAAACTCTTTGAAAACTCTTATTTACAGGACCCCAGTGCAGTGGGGTCTTTATCTTAGGTAAGACCTCTAAGCAATAGTGTAAAATTAAGAAAAACCTATGAGCTTAGGGGTAGTGTCACATACTATATAGTTCCCTGTTTTGTTACAGGGATATTGTTCTACAGCATAGCTACTCTACACAAGTATATGAGCCCCAATAGCAAACTCCACCTTTAAGTAAAAAGGAGGTACACAGAGATCCACTTAGTATATATAGACTGCTCTCTCATGGCCAGATTTTTGCAGATAGCAGACTCTCTCTCCA